ACTTCGCAGGCAGAGATGAAGAATGGTGGCCAATTGGAAGAAGGAGCATGCACTAGGCTTAGTGAATCCCTGTGGCTGTGACAGTGGTTCTCACTGAGTGGTCCTGCACCAGCAGCAGCGGCCTCACCTGAGTGCTTGTTAAAGATGCAAATTCTCTTGGCCCCACTTAGACCTCTTCAATGGGAAATTGAAGGTCAGGCCCAGCAAAGTGTGTTTTAATGAGCCCTCCAGGTGATTCTGAGGCACAGAGGAGGAGAGAATAGGATGGGGGAAAGGACTGCTTCTTGGATGCTGATTGGACAGCTCCCCTTCCTCTTCCCCTTCCCAGGCTTCTTTAACAGCCTGGTGTGGGCATCAAGCCCTCTGGTGAAGGGGGACGAGGCTGAAGTCAGTAGGACAACCTATGACCTGAGCAACACAAGGTGAGGTTCAGGAGGGGCTGAGGAAGGCTGGGACCCAAGGCATGAGTAGCATTAAGCCCAGACTATCCATTCTGTCTGTTTTCTGAGACCCCCACCCCAATGAGTTCACACACACCCTGGCACCCTCCCACAGGGCTGGGAGGGCTCAAAAAGTGATCTCACAGCAAGCTGGGCTTGACAGAACCGCCTTTCTCTCCCGGGTACTGCTGTTTCGGGTCTGGGCTGTCCTCATCTGTAGGGCCATGGATACTTGTCTGTCCTCCCGGAGTTTATAATGAGCCCTTGACCATGGCGCCACTCTTAGGCTGCAACCAAGGCCTCATCATCTAACCCTGCTGGCCCATGGGGCACCACTCAGCTGACAAAGAGTAGTGCTGAGTACCAAGCAGGGTCCCCAGACCTTGACTCACCGCAGGCGCCCTCATTACAGCTGCCCGGCCACCCCCACCACTCTGCTCAGCGACATGAGTCGCCCCAGCATCAGCAGCACAGCTGAAAAAGCAAAGACCCTGCTCTGGGGTGAGTGAGGGCCAAGAGCAGCTCCGTCCACCCTCCCTGTCCCCAGCAGAGGCGGGATGGAGGTGCTGTAACCCTCCCCTGGGGGTGGGCTGCAAGGGAGCTTGGAGAGTTCTCATGGGCCCCCCAGCCCCAGCCCCACCCCCACCCGTCCCTCTCCCTTGGCAGGTAGTGAACTAAATCTGGAGAGGCGAAGCTGCACCTTCAGACCTCAAGCGGAGAGGAAGGAGAGCTGTAGGCTGTTGCTCAATGCGGTGGGTGCCCCTCAGGGAGGGGAGGAAAGAGGGAACAGAAGGGATTCTCTGTTCCCAGTGAGCGACAGTAGAATTCCAAGATCTGCTCTTGGGGTGATGAAGTGCTTCTGTTTGCCACCACCCTCAGATTTGCCTGGGGGAGAAAGCCAAAGATGAGGTGAACCGAGTGGAGATCGTGCCCTCGACAAACCAGGAAGACAAGAAGACGCAGCCCATCACCATTGCCTCACTGAAGGCTTCGGTCCTACCCATGGTGAGCCTTTCCCCACAGCTGCCTCCACCCTGCTCAGGACCTCATACACCAAAAGTCCTGCTCTACTGCTGGAGAAGCAATTTAGTCCACCACTCAGAGCCTGCTTTTCATCTCAGCTTCAGGACTTTGGGCAAGTCAAATAACTTCCCTTCAAAAATTCCAGTTTTAAACCAGGCACAGTGGCACAGGCCTGTTATCCCAGTGGTTTAGGAGGCTGAGACGGGAGGATCATGAGTTCAAAGCCAGCCTCAGCAACAGAGAGACACTAAGCAACTCAGTGAGACCCTGTCTCTAAATAAAATACAAAATAGGGTTGGGGATGTGGCTCAGTGGTCAAGTGCCCCTGAGTTCAATTCCCACTACCAGGGGGAAAAAATTCCAGCTTTAGTTGGGCACACATTTGTAATCCCAGTGCCTAGGGAGGCTCAGGCTGAAGGATGACAAATTCAAGGCCTCACTCAGCAACTTTGCAAGACCCTGTCTCAGAAATAAGAAGTGCCCGAAATGTGACTCAAAGAGCTCCCCTGGTTTCTACCACCTCTATCAGAGAAGGGCAGGTTACAGCTTTAAA